GGCAGCCAGGGCTGAGCCCCCCCCTCCCCAAAAACCCCCCCCCCTCCCTCACCCCTTCCACGGGTCCATCCTGTTCTCCCCCATCCCCAAATCCCGGGTCGGACTCGAATGGCTTCCACTTCTCGCCCCCCCCCGTGCAACATTGCACAATTTGGGGGTAGTGGGGGGGGAAGCAGGGCCCGATTTAGGGGTGCTGCCCCTTTTGGGGGGGGTCCCAGTGCCCCTTGTCCCCCCCCCACGCTCTCTCTGATGGTGCTATTGCAGTGTACAGCCCCCGCTGCCGGGTTTTTAACTCAATAAAGCCGCCCCCCCTGGTTTATTTATATAAATCCTCGTCAAGCCGCTGTCATCTCTCAACTTTGAGCCCCCCCCCCGGATTCACAGTGCCCCCCCCAGGGCTGAGGGGTTGAAACCCGAGCGTTTTATGGAATTATTTGGGTGTACAAAGCCGAAGCAGGGCCGTTTCTTTCATTTTTTTAATAGAGCTCTGAATCCAAACACCGTCGTCTTCACAGTCCGAGCGTGCGGCAGCGGGGCTGCGCACGGGGGGGGGGGGTTAAAAGGAGAGGGGGGGGGGGAAAAGGAATTACAGTCAGCGCTGGGGCAGACCTGCTGGAGGCTGAGTTCTTTTCCATCGTGTTTCTTGGCACTGGTGCTGAAGGAGAGGCTCCTCCGGGGGGGTGGGGGGGGGTTTGGCTTCAGGTGCTCAGCCCCATAGGGCAGCTGGGGGGGTGGTGGTGGCCCTTTGCCCCCCCCCCCCCGATGGCACAAGGAGGGGCTCGCAGCCACCTTTTGGGGCGTAACGCCCTGGATCTATGCACGAGGGGTTGGCAGGGAGGTGCCTGAAAGGTTGGAGAGGGGGGAAACCCCCCCCCCAAAAAACGAAAGCTCCCGGCTGCGGGATCACCCTGACGGAACCCGGGCTGCGGAGCCAGCAGCTGCTGGCCGCCAGCCCGGGCTGTGGGGGAGCCAAACTCCAGCAGGATCTGCAAAATCAGCTGGTTCAGTAATCAAAGAAAAGCTAAACGAGAGGAAAAAAAAAAATTAAAAAAAAAAAAAAATCCACAAGGTGCGAAAGCTTCTGGGCTGCTTTTCATCGGCAGCAAGCACAAAACCCCTTTAATGAACCGGAGAAGGGTCGGGGACGGGGTGGGGACGGGGAGCGGGGCGGGGACAGCTCCACCTGGACGCGGGGCAGCTTCATTTCTTCTCCTTCTTCTTGTTCTGCGAGAGGAGGAGAGGGAGGAGAGGCAGCCGTCACCGCTGGGAACGCGGCCCCTGTCCCCATCGTGCTGTCCCACCCCCCTAAAATCAGCTTGGGGATCTCGAGTGTCCCCCAAAAACGAACCTGGGGCCCCGCACCCACCTCGTTCATGCCCAGGATCATCAGGAGCTCGCGGAAGATGTTGACGAAGTCGAGGAAGAGATCCACGCAGTGCCTGCGGGGACAGAGCGGGGGCGTTTAGGGGGGGTCCTGGCTCATCCCCTCCCCTCCCAAATCCGGCCCCGGCCCCCACCAGATGTAATCCTTGTCGCCGCTCTCCGCCTTCTCGATGATGAGCTGCGTGTCGAAGAGCACGAAGCCGCACATGAGCATCAGCCCCAGGTAGAGGTTGGCCTGGCGGGGAGGGAAAAAAGGTGTTAAATGGGGGGATCCCATCCTGGGGGGGCCATGTCTGCGCTCTGGGGGGGGGTCCGGAGATGGCTCCTGGCTTTGGGGGAGGTCGGTGTGAGGTCGGACTCACCGTGAAGAGCCAGGCGGAGCCCACGAACGCGTTAACCAGGGAGGAGAGGAGCATCAGGGTGAGGCCGGAGAGCAGGAAACCTGCCGAGAGCGAGCAGCGAAGTCAGGCCCCGTTTGGGGGGCACCCCCCAGCCCCAAATGAGGCCCCCCCCCCGCCCCTCTCACCTCCCAGGTAGAGGAAGCTGCGGCGCCGGGCGTAAAGGGCGCTGAGCGAGAAGCAGGCGAAGACGGTGGCGGTGCCCAGGAAGGCGGTGGGGATGATGCTAGGAGAGAGCCAAGGGGGTGAGAAGGGCCCTGGGGACATTTTGGGGGGGTTTAGGGACGTTTTAGGGGGACTGCGCCTACCTGGGGTTGATGGCGATGCACATTTGCAGGAGGGGCCCCAGGTTGATGCCTGGAAGGGCAGAGCAGGGCGTTAGGATTTCGGGTCTCTCCTCCCCCCCACCTTGGTTTCTGACCCCAGGGAGAGGCAGCGGAGCGATTTTGGGGCCACCCAGTCCTCTTGTCGTCCCCCCCCCGCTAAATTTCTCAGATTTGGGGTGCTGCCAGGCCCCCACCTACCCGTCAGGAAGGCGAAGCCAGCCAGCATCCCCAGCCTCTTCTGCTCCGTCTCCCTGCTGTGGGGGGTGGCCGTCAGCCAGATCATCAGCCCCAGGGAGCCCAGGCCGGTCAGCAGGCTGAACTGCGGGGTGAGACAGACCCCGGGGGGGCCTGGTGTCACCCCCTGGGGACAACCCACGCCCTCCCGGGGGGGGCTGCCCCCCGTTATTCACCCCCCCCTCACCTGGAAGAGGTGGGTGACCACATTGATGTACGCCCCCAGCGCTGCCACGAGCATGCAGAGGGCGAAGCTGGCGTAGACCCTCTTCAGGTGCTCCTGGGTGGAGGCCGAGCTGCGGACGAAAAGATCACGAGTGAGGCTGTTGTTTTTTTTTTTTTGGGGGGGGGGACGGGATTTGCGTGGCCCCCACCCCCCCATCCCGCCTGCTGCTCACATGTGGGAGAACTTGAAGAGGGCATCGAAATTGATGTTGCGCTCGAAGACGTTCATGGTGCCAGCCGGGAGCAGGCTCACCGCTTCGCACAGGTGCAGGCTGCAGGAAAAGAGGCGAATTTTAGGACCCCCCCCCCAAAAAAAAAAAACAAAACCCACACCCTGCCCTCCTTACCCCCCCCCCCCAAGGTGCCGGAGGAGCCCCGAGCTGCTGCGTGGCCGCCGTGCTCTCTTATGGGGCGGGTTGGGGAGCGCGTCGGGCTGCCCCCCCCCCAGCTGGTGCAAGCCTTGCGGGCTGTTGCGAGACCGGGGGCGGCCCCGGGAGAGGCCCCGAGCCCCGGGGGGGGCTCCGGAGGCAGCTGGAAAGCGGCTTTGTGCCAGGCCCCCATTAGCGGCCCTAATGCCGTCCCCAGCAGCCACCCGGTTCCCCCCCCGGGGGCCTCCGGTTCCCATCCGGGTCCTGTTTACAAGGGAGAAAGCGAAACCGGGCCCGGGAACCGGGTGGGGGGCTCGGGGGGGGGCTCCCGGTTGGTTTTGGGGGCTCTTTCCCACTCCCGGGGCTTTTCTCCGGGGTTCCCACCGAGGTCCCGGTGCTCCCGGTGCCACCACCCAGGGCCGGGCGCTGCCGGGCGACCTTTACCCGGTGCCCGCCCCGGCCCCGCCGCTGCCCCCCCCCGCCCCGCACCAAACCGAAAGGAGCGGCCCCGGGGGGGGTCCCCTGGGCACGGGGCTGGGTCTGAGCGGCCCGGGCCCGGTGCCCGGTTCCCGGTCCCGGTTTGTGGCCCCGGTCCAGGTCCCGGTCCCGGTCCCGGTCCAGGGCCACGGTTTCGGTTCCTGGCCCTGGCCCACGGTCCCGGTCCCCGTCCACGACCTCCCGGTCCCGGTCCAGGGTCACGATCCCGGTTCCCATTCCCCGGGATCGATCCCGGATCCCGGTCCCGGTCCTGGTCCCCGGTATCGGATCCCGGTACCGGTACCGATCCCGGTCCAGGTCCAGGTCCAGGTCCACGGCCCGGGTCCCCACCCCCGTCCCGCTCCCCGATCCCGGCCCCGTTCCCGGTCCCGGTCCCTGATCCCCGCCGCCGGTCCCGGTTCCCGGTTCCCGGTCCCGGTTCCCGGTCCCCGTTAACGACCCCGGCCCTGATCCCGATCCCGGTCCCGGATCCCACTCCCCGTTCCCATTCCCGTTCCCGTTCCCTGACCCCCGCCCCCGTTCCCGGTCCCGGTCCCGGTCCCGGCCCCGCCGCCCTGGGCCCAGCTGCGAGGGGGCGGCCCCGGCCCCCCGGAAAGGCCCCGGGGGGGCTCAGCTCTGCCCAGCCCCGGCCCCCCCGGTGCTGTAGGGGGGCTCCGAGCCCCCCCCGCGTCCCAAAACCGCCTCAGGGGCTCCGGGGCCGTTACCGGGGCCCGGTCCCTACCCCCCCCCCCCCCCCCCGGCCCTCACCTGCGCCGCGCTCCGCCGTCCGTGCCAGGCCTCGAACGCTCCTCACTGCGCCCCGCCCCCCGCCTCCCATTGGCTGCCTCCACCCCAAGTCCCGCCCTCCGCCTCTTCCCATTGGTCCTCCGCCCGTCGCTCAAGGAGGGGCGGGGCGGGGGGAGGTGGGAGAGACGCTGCCGAAGCTCATTGGTCAGCGGCCGCGCCCGAGCGCTGCTATTGGATGGGATTCGTCCCGCCCCCCCTCCCCGCGCGGGGCTCGTTGGGCGAGGCCGGGCCAATGGGCGCCGGCCGCTTGCTCGGTGCTCTTGTGCGCACCCTGGCGGCGAGACGGGGGATTGCAGGCGGGGCGAGAAGGGGGGCGTGGCCTAGTACAAGAGGGGCGTGGCCTGGTGGGGCGTGGGCGTGGCACGAGTGTGGTTTGGCGGAGGGGGCGTGGCCGGGCGGAGAGGGGCGTGGCCTGGCTGGGCACGGGTGTGGCTGGGTGGAGTGGGCGTGGCTTGGATGAGAGGGGCGTGGCCTGTCGAGGGAGTGGGCGTGTCCCGACGGAGTGGGCGTGGCCTGGCGGAAAGGGGCGTGGCTTGGCAGAGTGGGCGTGGCCTGGAAGAGTGGGCGTGGCCTGCCAGGGCGTGGGCGTGGCCTGGCGGAGAGGGGCGCGCCCTGGCGGGGCACGGGTGTGGTTGGGCGGAGTGGGCGTGGCTTGGAGGAGAGGGGGCGTGGCCTGGCGAAAACGGGCGTGGCTTAACAGCGAGGGGGCGTGGTTTAACAGCGAGGGGGCGTGGCCTGGCGGCCGGGGCGGGCGCGGGAGGCGGCGGCGGCGGCGGCGGGCGGACGGCACGGGCCGGGCCGGGCCGAGCCGAGCCGGGCAGGGCTGGGCTGGGCTGGGCTGGGCTGGGCTGGGCTGGGCTGGGCTAGGGCCTCGCTGAGCCTCCCCGAGCCGCCCCGGGGCTGGGGATGGGGAACGTGGAGAGCGCGGACGGGGAGCCGCTGTCCCGGGGCCCGGGAGTGGCGGTCGCCGCCGCCTCCCCCGCCTCCCCCGGGGGGCTGCTGGCCCCCGGGAAGATGCCGATGCCGGAGCCGTGCGAGCTGGAGGAGCGCTTCGCCATGGTGCTGGTGAGCCCCCCATCCCCGACACCCCCCCCAACCCCCCCCAACCCTCTCCCGGTGCCCCCCCCCCCTCCGCCTCCGGTCCCGGTAATTCCCCCCCCGGTCCTGCTGCTCCCTCCCGGTGCTCCCCTCACCCCCCTCCTGCCCCCGGTTCTCCCCGCGTGGACGAGCCCCGGGGAGCCGCGGGTGGGACGGAGCCACCGGGGACCCCCCCCCGCCGCCACCGGAGCCCGGTAGGAGCAGCCGGGGGGGGGCAGCGGCTGCGGCACCGAAGGGGACAGCCCCGGGGGAACCCCGGCCCGGGACGGCCCCTCGGGGGTGACGCCTCTCCCGGGGCACCGGGGAGGGGGGGGGGGGGCTCTGCCACCCACGCCCCGTGCCGGGAATTTCTCCGGGAAAGCCCCGTGGGGACGGTGGAACCCCGGGGTTTGGGGTCCCCAGGGGCGTGGGGTCCCCAAAAGTTTGGGGTCCCCAAGGGTACGGGGTCCCCAGGGCTGTGGGGTTCCCAGGGGCACGGGGGTGCCATGCCCTACGTGGCCCCCCCCAGCCTTAAAAGCCCCCCGGTGGCCACCGGGGCCGTACCGGTGACGGGGACCCCATCAAGGTGTGGTGTCCCCCCCCCGGCTCCCCGCTGTCCCCTGTCCTGGCACCGTGCCGTGGCCGTGCCGTATCCCCGTGGTGTGGCCCCCGTTTGGTGGTGCCAGCGGATAACGGGGGGTGTGGGCCACCACTGGCCACCGTGGGCCACCAGTGGCCACCAGTGCCACCGTCCTGCACAGTGGGGTGGCCCCACAGTTGGGGGTTTGGGGTTACCTGCGCCAAGGTGTCCCCGGATACGGTACCGGGGAGCGGGCGGCTTCGGGGACACCGTGGCCGTGTGACAACCGGGGCGCGTGTCCCCGGTGCCTGGCTCTGTCCCCGTGTCCCCAAAAGCCATCGCAGCCCCGGGCCCGGTGGTGGCCGTGGTGAACGGAAGCCGTGGCGGGCAGGAAATGCCGAGCGCGGCCCCGTGGGGCTCTGGGCTGCAGCAGCCAGGACTGGGGGACACTGGGGGGGGGGACACACAATGGGTAACGGGGCCGTGCCCCCAGCTCCCGGTGGCACACGGGGCCGTGGCTCAGCCCAGCACCCTTGGGGCTGGTCCCCATGGGGCTGGGGGGGGCGCATCCTGCTGGGCGCATGGGGATGGCACCAGGGTCCCCGTTGGCACCGGGGTGGGGGCACGGCCGTGGGGGCTTCACCCATGGGTTCTGCGGTGCCACCCTGTCTGTGCCACCCCGGCTGCCCCTCGCCGTCCTCCTGCTGCCGTTGGGAGGAGAAGATTTCCCCGTGGGATGGGGCGGCAGCACCGGGACCAGGATCCAGCCCTGTCCCCATCCCCAGGTGTCCCCCCCCTGCCCGCCCCCAGCTGGGCTCTGTCCCCACGCAACCCCTGGCCCCGGTTCATCCCCATCCTTTGGGGGCTCCGTCCCCATCCCGGGGGGCTCCATCCCGGCTCAGCCGTGTTGGGGGGAGACTTTTAGGGAGGGTGGGGGTGAAGGAAGTGCCCCGGCCGGGAGCGGCCCCGCTCCCACCACAAAGGCAGGAAGCGGAGCAGCGGGAACGGGCGGCGAAGGCGCTCGAGCTTCAAAGCCCCCGCAGCCCCCAGCCGGGCCCCCGGCCCCTCCTCGGCTCTGTCCCTGGGGGTCCCTTTGCCCGGGGAGGGCTCGGAGCCTTGAGGGGGGGGGGACGGGGACTGGGTGGGAGGCGCTGCGGGGGTGTCGGGCTGGGCCCTACAATTTTGCAGGCGGCGGCGGGAGCGAAATGAGAGTGGCCCCGTGGGGAGGGAGGCACCGGCCCCGTTCCCGTCCCGGCTCGCCAAGGGCACGTTTGGTGGAGGCGCCGGGGTCCCCGTCCCCGTCCCCATCCCCGTGGGGTTGTCCCGGGGGTGCTGAGCCTCGCCCAGGCTCTGCCCCTGTTTCCTGCAGCTCCTCGGGGCCGGGAAGGGATAATTTTAGCTGCCACGGGGCGGGTGGAGCGCTGGCACCTCCCCGCTGCGGTGGCGGCTGGATTCGGCTAACGGCCCTGCCCGCCAGCCACCTTGGCTCGGTGGCAGCACCCGAGGGGGGTGACAGCACCCAAAAGGGTGGCAGCACCCAACAGAACGGCACCCGCAGCCATCCGGCACCCCCGGCACCCATCGTTTCCACCGTGGCACCTCGTTTTTCCCAGCTCATCCTTGCCAACACCGTCACCGCGGGCCATGTCCTTGTGCCAGCGGGTCCCCAGGTCCCTCTTGGCACCCGGGAGAGCCCCGGCCCGGCCGTGCCGGCGCCGCGGTCGGCGTGCCGGAGGCTGCGGTTTGCCGGCGCGGAAGCAGACGCAGGCAGGAAACTTGGTTGGTGGTGGTGCTGGGGAAATTTGGGGCTGTGGGGCACGTGTCCCCATGTCCTCGTGTCACCGTGTCCCCGTGTCACTGTGTCCCCGTGCCCCAGCGCTACCCGCGGTGCGCCCTGGCCGTGCCATGGGGCTGGGTGCCGTGGGGTCGCTGCGGGAATGCCGTGGGCTCGTGGGTGGCACGAGTCTGTCACCAACAAAAGCCACATCCTGGGGCTGGTGGCCCTGGGTGCCACAGGTCCCGCGTGGCTCAGGCTGGGGGGCAACGGCCCCGTCTTGCCCCCTTTGTCCCCACCGTGGGATGCGGTGACCTGAGCAGCCCCCGCTGTGTCCCCAGAGCTCCATGAACCTGCCCCCGGACAAAGCCCGGCTCCTGCGGCAGTACGACAATGAGAAGAAATGGGACCTCATCTGTGACCAGGTGCGGGGCCTTGGGGGGGGCTGTGGGGCCGGGGGGGGGGGGCTGCGGGGCCGTGCCAATGTCCCCATCTCCCCCCGTCCCTCCCCAGGAGCGGTTCCAGGTGAAGAGCCCCCCCCACGCCTACATCCAGAAGCTGCAGAGCTTCCTGGACCCCGGTGTCACGAGGAAGGTGAGGGGCTGGGGGGCTGCGGGGGTGTGATGGGGGGGGTAAAAAGGGGGGGCGGCACGGCTCAGGGCTTGCTCTGCCCACAGAAATTCAGGAGGAGGGTGCAGGAGTCCACCAAGGTCCTGCGCGAGCTGGAGATCAGCCTGAGGACGAACCACATCGGGTGAGCGCGGGGCGCAAGGAAGGGATTTTTATTTTTTTTTGGGGAGGGGGGGGGGGGGGTGAAAGCGCAGGGTGCCGGGGGGGGGAGCATGGCACGGGGGTGCTGCAGCTGCAGGGGAAGTCGGAGCCGGTGCAGGAACTGGGCTGGTTCCTGCTGGGCCGTGCCGAGGGCAGGTCCCGGGGGCGGATGCCGGGACGGATGGGACGCGGCGCTGACGCCCTGCGCCAAGCAGCGCGGCCAAATCCTGCCCGGCTCCTCCCCGGCACCGGGGGGCTCGGCACCCACCCTACAGCCCCCCCAACCCTATGGGGGAGCCCCGAGGATGGATGGAAATGGGGTTGACCAAAGGGCTGGGGACCGGAGGGCGGTGGGGACCTCCCCGTCCGTGCCCGCATGCTCGGGGGGGTTGGCGCACGTGCCGGGTTGCGCCCCCGCGGCGGCCCCCGAGCGGCTGCGGGATTCGGCTCTCCCCCACCCGCGGCCCGAAAATAGCAGCAGCCTCAGACAGGAAACGCGCTGGGGCGAGGGGCTGGGGCCGGCAGGAAATAGGCGGCCGCGCGGCCCCGGCTGCTCCAGCTGCGCCCTGACTCACCGCCCAGCGGCACGCGGCGTGGGGACGCACGGGGACGCACGGGGACGCACGGGGATGTGGGGCCGGGCACCGACACCCCCCCCAACCCCAACCCCAACCAACGCGTCCTGGTCCTCTGTGCTGCTCTGCGTCCTCGTGCACCTCCATCCACGCACACCCCGTGCACGCCCGAGCCCCCAGCACGTGCCCCCCCCACACACACACGCGCGTGCCCCCCGGTGCTCTCCGTGCCCCCCACCGGGCTCCCGGTGCCGAGCACCAGGCTGTGGGGTTGGTTTCCCGCCTGGTGCTGAGCCCTCCCCCCCCTGCAGCCAGCAGATAACGCCCCAAGGGTGCTGCCGTGGGTGATAGCATGGGGGGGCTGCACCCACCATCGGTGCCGGGGAGCCCCCGGGACCCTCTCTGTGTTTTTGGGGTGCCCCCGTTGGTTCAGGGCATGGTTTCGGGGCATGGTTTTGGGGTGTAATCAGCCCCCCCCGGGCTCTGACTGCTGCGTGCGGCCGCAGGTGGGTGCGTGAGTTCCTCAACGATGAGAACAAGGGGCTGGACGTGCTGGTGAACTACCTGTCCTTCGCTCAGTGCGCCGTCATGTGAGTAGGGGGCTCGGTTTCGCCCCGGGGGGGGTGCGGAGGGACCGGGTGCCTGCTGAGATGGCTCCTGGCTGCGGGCCGGCGCTTTGCCCTGTCCCCAGGGGGGGCACGGGGTGCTCAGCCCCCTCCTCGCCCCGCTGCTGCCGCGCTGCCTCCGCTTCAGCGCTTGCTCCGGTGGCTGTGCCGCTCCCGCGCCAAAGCCGCCCCCGTCCCCACCTTTCCCCCCCCCCATTCCCCCCCCCCCGTTCCCCTTCTCGTGCGTGTCCCACCCAGGTTTGATTTTGAGGGCCTGGAAGGCGGCGAGGACGGCGCGCTGGAGAAGCTGAGAGCCTGGAGCAGATCCATTGAGGATCTGCAGCACCCCAGTGCCCTGCCTGCCCCCTTTGCCAGCAGCCTGGCCCGCTCTGCCCGCCAGACCGCCCTACGGTACGTACCCAACCGGGGGCTGCCGGCCAGCCGGGGGGGGGCACGTGCCCAGCACCCCGTGCCGTGGCCGAATGCTGCTGCCCGTGCCATGCCCACGGTGCCCACGGTGCCCGCACCCTGCGCTCTGCACCGCGCTGCGACCCCTCGTGCCGCAGCGTGTGCCGTGCCCTCCGTGCCCGCAGCAGCACGGCACCGCCTGTCCCCCCCCCGTCCCCGTGTCCCCATCCTGCCCGAGGTCCATCCATGGTCCCCCCCCGGTCCCCCTGCTCTGCTGCAGCCGTGCTGTCTCTCCTCTCCTCTCGCTCTCGCTCTGCCCCCGGGTAACGTGCCCGTGTCTCTGCCCGCAGGGCCGGGCCCGCTCGCCTCTCTGGCTGCGCTCTCTCTCTCTGTCCTCTGCGCCCGCCTCGCCGCTCGCCGGGTAAGTACGGGCAGCACTTTTGCTCCGTGCCTCTGTCCCTCTCGCGCTCCAGCCACTTCTCTCTGCCTCTGCCCCCCCCCCAAAAAAAAAGCCCCGCGGTCCCCTCGCCGTCCCCACCGTGGTCCTGTCCCCATCTCCTGTGCGTGGCCCCGGGCACCGCCGGGTGCTCCGGGACGCGGCGCGGCACCGGCAGCGCCGGGGTCCCCCCCTGCTCACCGTCACCGTGCGTGTGTGTCCCCCCCCCCAGCTACGGGACGCTGCCGAGCCGCAAGGCGCTGAAGAACTCGCGCCTGGTGAGCCAGAAGGACGACGTCCACCTCTGCATCATGTGCCTGCGTGCCATCATGAACTACCAGGTACGGGTGGGTGCCCCTGGGGGTGCCGCCGCTGCCTGCACCGGGGCTGCTGCCTCATCCCCGCTCCTTTCCCCCCCCCCAGTACGGCTTCAACCTGGTCATGTCCCACCCCCACGCTGTCAACGAGATCGCCCTGAGCCTCAACAACAAGAATCCCAGGTAAGGGTTGGGGGTGCCCAGGGCAGGCGCGGGGTTCCCCTCCGCCGCCGGCTGGGGACGATGGCTCTGCCGTGCCCCAGGACCAAGGCGCTGGTGCTGGAGCTGCTGGCGGCCGTGTGCCTGGTGAGGGGCGGCCACGAGATCATCCTGGCGGCCTTCGACAACTTCAAGGAGGTGAGGACGGAGCCGGGAAATGCCAAGCGGGGTTGGGGACGAGCAGGGAGAGCGGGGGACGTCGGCGCGGAGCTGGGATGGGAGAGCCAGGATCAGGGGGAATGGGAAAAACGAGGCCAGGGCTGGGTTTGGGAGGCTGGAAGCAGCCGGGCTGGGGGGCGGCGGCCGTGCAAATTCCTCCACCCACCTCCTCCCAGGTGTGCAAGGAGAAGCACCGCTTCGAGCGACTCATGGATTACTTCCGCAACGAGGACAGCAGCATCGACTTCATGGTACCCTGCCCGTCCCCGGGACATCCCCGGGGCTGGGTTGGGGGTTAAAGGGGGGGGCAGGAGGATGGGTCAGGGGCTCCCGGCCCCCCCCCTGACGCAGCCCTGCCTTGCAGGTGGCCTGCATGCAGTTCATCAACATCGTGGTGCACTCGGTGGAGGACATGAACTTCCGCGTGCACCTCCAGTACGAGTTCACCAAGCTGGGGCTCGAGGAGTTCCTACAGGTACCTGGGGGTGGATTTAGGGTCTCTGGAGGTGCCCCCCCATCTCCGTGAGGAGTCCCCCAGCCCTCGACGCCGTCCCCTGCCCGCAGAAGTCGAGGCACACGGAGAGCGAGAAGCTGCAGGTGCAGATCCAGGCGTACCTGGACAACGTCTTCGATGTCGGGGGGCTGCTGGAGGACGCCGAGACCAAAAACGTGGCCCTGGAGAAGGTGGAGGAGCTGGAGGAGCACCTGTCCCACGTACGTCAGCCACACGGGGTGCCCCGAAGGGCCCGGTTTTTGTGCCTGGGAGGGGTTGGAGGTGGCCAGGGGGGTGATCCCGTGGTCCACGGCTGCGTGTCCCCCCCCGGCAGCTGACGGAGAAGCTGCTGGACCTGGAGAACGAGAACATGATGCGGGTGGCGGAGCTGGAGAAGCAGCTGCTGCAGCGGGAGAAGGAGCTGGAGGCGGTCAAGGTGCGTGGGAGGGGGGAAAAAAGGGGAAGGGTCCCGATCTTCTCCCCCTCCTCCCTGACCCCGACTGATTTTGTGGTGTCCCCCCCTGCCCCCCTCCCCAGGAGACCTACGAGCACACGAGCCACCAGGTGCACACGCTGCGGCGGATGATCAAGGAGAAGGACGAGGCTTTCCGGCGGCGCTACGGCTCCGAGCCCCCCCCCGTGCTGGGCGTCGAGCCCCCTCCCCAATCCGAGCCCCAAGCTCTGGATGAGGCCCCGAGGGTCCCCGTCCTGCCTCCCCCCGAGGCTGCGCCCCCCCCGCCGCCTCCTCCACCTCCCCTGCCGCCCCCTGCGCCCCCGCTGCCAGGTGAGGATGGGAAGGGGGGGGGAGCTGGGATAGGCCCCAAATTGGGGTGTCCCTGGGGCTGGGGACCCCAAATGGGGACAGCCATCCTTGGGCGTGGTGTCACCCCCTTGTCCCACTGCAGGCAAGTGCCCGCCGGCCCCCCCGCTGCCCGGGGCTTCTCCCTCCATCGCCCTCACCGTTGGGCTCTCGGGTAGGTGGGGAGGGAGCAGGGGTTGTGGGGTCGGGGAGGGTGAATGGGGACGAGGATGGGGAGGGTCCAGGAGCTGTGGGGACAAGGAGGGTTCAGGGACTGTGGAAACGGGGACAGGGAAGGTGCAGGGACCATGGGGACAAGGACAATGGGGTCGGGTGGCCCAGGGCAAGGGGACAGCGTGGGGACTGCTTCTCCGGGGCTGGGTGGCTCAGGGTGGGCTCGGGATGCATCCCCCTGCCCCGGGGGAGGCTGAGCCGGCTCCTGCGTGCCCCCGGCAGCCATCCGGATCAAGAAGCCCATCAAGACCAAATTCCGGCTGCCCGTCTTCAACTGGACGGCGCTGAAACCCAACCAGATCAGCGGGACGGTGTTCAGCGAGCTGGACGACGAGCGGGTGCTGGAGGTGAGCCCGGGGCCACAGCGGCTCGGAGAAAATCAGGGTGGTGGCGGGGGGACGCCGGTGGCACCGCTGAGCCCCCAAAATCCCCCCACCCCCGCAGGACCTGGACCTGGAGCGTTTCGAGGAGCTCTTCAAGACCAAGGCGCAGGGCCCGGCGCTCGACCTGGTGTGCGCCAAGAACAAGGCGTCGCACAAAGCCGCCAGCAAGGTGACCCTGCTGGAGGCCAACAGGGCCAAAAATTTGGCCATCACCCTGCGCAAAGCCGGCCGAGGCACCGAGGAGATCTGCAGGGCCATCCACACGTACGGGCAGCGGGGTTGGGGTGGGGGCCGAGGGGTCCGGTCGCGGCGCCACGGTGCCAAACTCACGCGGTCCGGTGGCGCACGGAGAGCGCCACGGTGCCAAACGCATGCGGGGCGATGGCGCGGGGAGAAGGGGGCGTCCGGGTCCCGATGGCAATTTTTGGGGCAGGTTCGACCTGGCGACGCTGCCGGTGGATTTCGTGGAGTGCCTGATGAGGTTCCTGCCCACGGAGGCGGAGGTGAAGGCGCTGCGGCAGTACGAGCGGGAGCGCAAGCCGCTGGAGGAGCTGGCGGACGAGGACCGCTTCATGCTGCAGTTCAGCAAGGTGGAGAGGCTGCCCCAGCGCATGGCCATCATGGCCTTCCTGGGCAACTTCGCCGAAAACCTGCAGATGCTGACGCCGGTAATGAGCCGGGGAGGGCGCCCCGAGGGGTCCCACCGCGGCCCCACACCCCGCTGAGCCCCTTCTCCCTTATCCTGTGCCCCCCCTGCAGCAGCTCAATGCCATCATCGCGGCATCGGCCTCCGTTAAATCCTCCCAGAAGCTGAAGCACATGTTGGAGGTGGGCACGGGGGGGGGTCCTCGCCCTTCAGCCTCGCCATAGCTGGGTGCAAAAGTCCCGTTTGGGGCTGGGGAGGCTCCTCCCTGACCCCCCCGTCCCGTCCCCTGTGCTTCACCCCTGCAGATCATCTTGGCTTTGGGCAACTACATGAACAGCAGCAAGCGCGGCGCCGTCTACGGCTTCAAGCTGCAGAGCCTGGACTTGGTGAGGGGCCCCCTCCCCTGGGGCTGTGCAGGGGGTGTTTGGGGGTGTGGGGGGGTCCCATCTTACACCCCATAATACCCCTGTGTGGCCCCGCAGCTCCTGGACACCAAATCCACGGACAGGAAGATGACGCTGCTGCACTTCATCGCGCTGACGGTGCGGGAGAAGTACCCCGAGCTGGCCACCTTCTGGCAGGAGCTGCACTTCGTGGAGAAGGCAGCCGCAGGTGCCCCCCCCCGAAATTTTGTGCATCCCCCTCCAAACCACCTCCAGCCACCCCTCGGGGGTCACCCTGAGCCTTCCCTGTCCCCGCAGTGTCCCTGGAGAACGTCTTGTTGGACGTCAAGGAGCTGGGCCGGGGCATGGAGCTGCTGCGCCGCGAGTGTGGGCTGCACGAGAACGGCGTCCTGCGAACCTTCCTGGCCGCCAGCGAGGGCAAGCTGGAGCGGCTGCAGAAGGACGCGCGGACGGCTGAGGTGGGGGCGCTCAGCCCCTCTGCACGCCCCCCCCCCACCTCCCCGGGCACGCGTGTGCCGTGCCTCGTGTGTGTGTGTGCGCCGCTTTGCCTGCCCCGGTGTGCTCGCCTCGCTTTGCACGCCCACGTGCGTGCCGTGCTCTGCACGCCTCGCTCTGCTTTGCACGCATGCGTGCCCCTCGTGCACGCCTCGCTTGGTGTGCTCCCTGTGGACTTCTTGCTGTGCACACACCTGGCTTTGCACGCTACTCATGCATGCTGGGCTTTGCACAACCCTCGTGCACACCTGGCTTTGCACGCCTCTTGTGCACACCTGGTTTTGCATGCCCATTGTGCATGCCTGTCTTTGCACACCCCTCGTGCAACCCTGGCTTTGCACGCCTGTTGTGCACACCTGGCTTTGCATGCCCATTGTGCACACCTGGTTTTGCACATCTGTTGTGCACACCTGGCTTTGCACACCCCTCATGCAAGTCTGGCTTTGCATGCCCGTTGTGCACGCCTGGCTTTGCACACTCTGTGCACACCTGGTTTTGCATGCCCCTCATGCACACCTGGCTTTGCATGCTCCTTGTGCACACGTGGCTTTGCATGCCTGCTGTGCACTCCTGGCTTTGCACACCCCTTGTGCAAGTCTGGCTTTGCACACCTGTTGTGCACACCTGGTTTTGCACACCCCTTTGTGCACACGTGGCTTTGCACGCTCCTCGTGTGCTCCTGCCTTTGCATGCTCCTTGTGCACACGTGGCTTTGCACGCCCGTTGCACACCTCTGGGGAGCCGGGGGGGGGGGGCACACCCAGCCCCTCCCTCACCACCCGTCCCCGTGCCAGGACGCCTACAACACGGTGGTGCGGTATTTCGGCGAGAGCCCCAAGACCACCCCCCCGTCCGTGTTCTTCCCCGTCTTTGTCCGCTTCATCCGCTCCTACAAGGTACGGGGGGGGTCAGGAGGGGCTGGGGGGGGGGGGGTCTCGAGGAGGGCTGGCCCCCAGTGCCACCCCCTCGCTGCGGCAGGACGCGGAGCAGGAGAATGAGACGAGGAAGAAGCAGGAGGAGGTGATGCGGGAGAAGATGCTGGCGCAGGAGGCGAAGAAGCAGGAGAAGGTGAGTGGGGGCCAGGGGCTTTTTTTTGGGGGGGGGTCTCTGACGTGTTTCGGGGGTCTCTGATATTGGGGGGGGGCCCTCTCGCAGCGCAACAAGTGGCAGCAGCAGGAGCTGATCGCGGAGCTGCGGCGGCGCCAGGCCAAGGATCACCGCCCCGTCTACGAGGGCAAGGACGGCACCATCGAGGACATCATCACCGGTACGACCCCCCCAGACCCCCCCCCAAAAAAAAAAACAAAAAACCCTCTGGCATTCCCACGAGAGGGGCTGATGGTGTCTCTGTGCCCCCGGCCCCGTGCCCCCCCCCCCCAAAAAATGCAGCTCTGAAGAGCGTCCCCTTCACCGCCCGCACCGCCAAGCGGGGCTCGCGCTTCTTCTGCGACCCGTCCCACCACGACGAGTCCAGCTGTTAGCCCCCAGGTACGGCCGTGCATGCCCGGCCCCCCCCAAAAAAAAAACAAAAAAAACCCCTGCATGCACCCCCCAGAGTCCTGCATGCACCCCCCAGAGCCCTGCATGCACCCCCCCCCCCCAGAGCCCTGCATGCCCCCTTCCCCAAGCCCTCCCTGCATGTGGTCACCCCGGGGCTCTCCGGCACAACGCTGGGGTCTGGTACAGGGCATGGCACCAGATCCCGGCACTGGATCCCTGTGGGATACTGGATCCCAGTACAGGGTCCCAGTAGAACACTGGATCCCAGCACTGTGTCCCGGTGCGAAGCTGGATCCCGGCACAGGATCCCAGTGGGACACTGGATCCCGGCACAGGGTCCCCATGGGACACTAGATCCCAGCACAGGGTCCCAGTAGAACACCAGATCCCAGCACCGTGTCCCGGTGCAAAGCTGGATCCCAGCACAGGGTCCTGGTCAAACACTGGATCCCAGCACAGGGTCCCAGTGGGACACCAGATCCCACCAGTGCAAAGCTGGGCACTGGCCGGGTCCCAGTAGCAGATCCCAAGGCAGTACAGGATCCCAGCAGTGGATCCCAGTGCAATAGGGGATCCCAGCATGATACGGGATCCCAGCAGTGGATCCCAGGGCAGGAGGGATCCCAGCACGCTGCCAGCTCCCAGTAGCAGATCCCAGTGCAATATGGGATCCCAGCAGCAGATCCCAGTACAGCACCGGATCCCAGTTCAAGGCTGGGCTCCCAGCAGGGGGGGGATCCCCGTGCCGTACCGGATCCCGGGGCTGCCTCCCCCCCCACCAGGGCTGCCCCTGATGCTGTTTTCTCTCCCCCCCCCCCCAGCCCGGAGGCGCCGGATCCGCCTGTAACACACCAGGGTAAGGCCCTGACACTATGGGGGGGGGGGGGGGGCACAGCGGCCCTATTGCCCCCATCACCCCCCCCCCCCAAAATCACCTCCTTCTGACCCCCCCCAGGTCCCGCCGGTCGCCTCCATCCCCTGGAACCCCTTAGGGTGGGGGGGGGACACCCCGGTGCCACCGTCCTCATCCTCGAGGGCAGCATCCACCCCTCCTTGTCCCCCCCCCCAAAAAAAAAATAATCTGGGGGCTTCTCCTCCCCCCCTCAAAGCCAAGCAGGGACCAAATCCTGCTCCTGGTGCTGGGGGGGGGGGGTAGTGGAAGGGGGACATGGGGGGGGGGCTGTGGGGTTGGGGGTCCCCATCCCCAGGCTCTCATCTCCCTGAAGCCACTGGGACCACAGTGGGGGGGGGGACAGGGGATGGTGCCCCCCCCCCCCACGCTCGTCACTTTGACCACTGATGAACACTAATTGCCAAAAATTAATAAAAAACACCAAAAAAAAAAACACAAAAAGGGACCAAAGCCAGGCTGGGGGGGTGATGGGGGGGGGGGGGGCAGGATGGCCCCCTCCCATGCCCTGTTGCCCCCCCCCCCATCCCCATCCCCCTCCCCGTGACTTTTTGTACATGTGAAATATACCCAGGAGTCTTTTACGCTGATGGTGTCTTATTTTTTTTTAGGGTGGGGGGGTCCTGGTGTGCGGCCCCCCCCATCAAACCCCCCTTTTCCCTGCTGCAGGGGTCCTGTGTCCTCATTTGGGGTGGGGGGGGGGGGGGCGTTAATATAAATCTCAGCCGCCCAGAGCTTATCCCTAAAACAGGGCAAAATAATAAAAAAACCACTTTTTCCCCTAATCCTCTTGCTGGGATTACCAACCACACCCGCGGCTGGCCCCAGACACACCCAGGACCCCCCCCCCATTTCCCCCCAACCCCCCCCCCACCCAAATACCCCCCCCCCGTTGCCTTTTAATCCCTACAAACCCCAAAGCCGCAGCCCCTGGTGCCGTCCTGGTGCTGTCCATCCGTCCGTCCGTCCATTGGATTTGGGGGGGGGTCCCACTCGCTATACCCCCCCCGTGGAGCCTTCGGCCTCGCGGGACGGACGCCGCTCGCGGGCCGGGGGGGCCGCCAAGCTCTCGGCTTGCAGCAGGAGGTGGCGGCCCAAAAAAAAGACCCCGAAGGCGACGGCGAGGCAGAGGACGAGGGCGACGGCGATTTGGGCCCCCTCAGCCCCCCGGCTGCTGGGTTGCGCCCTCGTGGAGTTCATCTCCTCTTCCTCCTCCTCCTCCTCCTCCTCCTCCTCCTCCTCCTCTTCTTCCTCCTCCTCCTCTTCCTCGCAGTGCAGTGCGGGGGGGTGGCCGGGGAGGGTTTAAATGATGTCACAGCTCCCCGAGCAGCGCCCAGTAGGTAAAAACCCACAAGGACCCTTCTGTGGGGTGGGGGCAAGTGGGTTTGTCCCCCCCCGTAAGGCTGGGGGGGCCTACAAAACGGGGAGCACCCCACCCTCGCTGCTGGAAGAGGCCTCGGTTTGGTTTTAGGGTAGAAAAGGGGTTTAGGGCATCCTGGGGGGGGGCTCGAGGGAACTGGGGGTCACTGGGAGGCTTGCTGGGGGAGCTGGGGGTCACTGGGAGGCTTTCTGGGAGACCTGTGGGGGGGCTCAGCCCAGACCAGGGGGCTCAGCCCCCACCCCACAGCGAGGCCGCCCCATTTTAGACCCCCCCTCACCAAGGGGGCACACATGAGGGTCTCCCAGCTCCTCCTCAGCACCCGTTCCCTCCCCACCCTGCGGATGGCGGCCCCAAAACACAACGGGACTCCCCAGGAAGGGAAAACATTTTATTTTTCCACCCCCCCGGAGGAAGGCAGGACGCAGAGCAGGATCCCCAGCGCCGAGGCGGTGCCGTGCCGAGCAGCAGCCACCCGGCTGGTTCTCCGAGCCGGGCCAGCTTTGGTGGCCAGCACCCCACAAAAACACTCACCCCAAAACCAGCAGCAACCCCCAATTAAAGCCTGGGCCGAGCCCAGCTCCTCGCAGAAGCTTTTCAAGAGGCGGGGAGGATGGAGACGCCTTCCCCCGGAGCCTGAGGCTGCGCTCTGGGGGGGGTGCGCGCACGTGGGGAGGGGGAAAAGCTGCCCCAAAAGCTGCCCCTACAGAGCCAGCGTGTCTTTGATGAGCCGCCGCATGGTGGTGGTGACCGAGGTGCCCAAGGAGTCCGTGATCTGGTAGGAGATCTTGTAGAGGTAGGGCTGCACGTCCTTCAGGCTGGTGTCGAAGACGTTGTCCACCTCGGACTGGGTGGGCATTTTGGGCAGGTACTCGTGGCGGTTCATCACCTCCACGATGTTGATGATTTTCTCGCACAGCTTCTCGCCCACCTTCTCGCGGCAGATCTGCCGCTCCTGCTCGTTGGCCAGGTTCACCACGTTCACCTTGATGGTCCACAGCTCCCAGGGGATGCACTCATCCGAAAAGGGCCAGCGGGATTTTTTCTTCTGGTAAAACTCCAGCGAGATCTGCCCCATCCCGTCGCTGCCCGAGCTGCGCAGCGCGTCCTGCCGAGGCACAGCACCCTCCTTAGAAGGGGGGGGGACACACACAAATCCTGGCTGCCCCCCATCCCCAAGTCCCATTGGGGTTGTGCTTGGGGTTGGCACCGCAGCCGGGCTCCCCCCAAACCCCCTAGGTCAAAAAAAAAATCGAGGAAGAAACGACTCCTGAGCTAACCCAACCCAACCCCGGGGTGCTCCATGCCGCCTGAGGTCACGTTCATGCAATAAAAGGTGGAAAAAGGAATAAGGGGGCGGGCTCAGAATTAATAAATCTCCCCCCCCACCTGCAGCTGAGCTGCCCAGGAGAGGGATGGAGCCAACCTCGACCTTCCCTTTGCTCCTGATCCCACAGCAGGAGCCGGGAGGTTTTTCCACCCCCCTTTTTCCACCCCCTTTTTTCACCCCCTTTTTTTTCACCCCCTTTTTTTTTCACCCCCCTTTTTTTCACCCCCTTTTTTTCAACCCCCTTTTTTTCACCCCCTTTTTCCACCCCCTTTTTTTCACCCCCTTTTTTTCACCCCCTTTTTTTTTCACCCCCTTTTTTTATCCCCCTTTTTTTATCCCTTTTTTTTCACCCCCCTTTTTTTCAACCCCCTTTTTTTTCACCCCCTTTTTTTTTTCACCCCCCTTTTCCCACCCCTTCCGCCTCGTCCCCGCCGGGTTCCTTGCCTTGAACTCCCCGACAGCTTTACGGAGAGCCCGGTCGAGCTCCTCGGAGGAGACGCGGACGTAGGCGAAGTCGATGAAGTCGCAGTCGACGTCCTGGGTGCCGACGGTGCCGATGGAGTAGGTGCCCTCCTTCTTGTAGTGGAACTTGCCGGTGCTGCGGTGCAGGAGCACGGTGTGCAGCACGGCCAGCGCCGCCTCCTCCACCTGCCGGCCCTCCACCGACACCTCCAGCACCTCGGCCCGGCAGTTCATGGCTGGGGGGCGGCCGCTGCTGCCGGGAACGGGGCCGTTATGGGGTGGGGGGGTCGCAGATCCCCTCCCGTAGCCCCCCTGTACCCACCTGGAGGGCCCCGGGCTCGCCCTCAGGGCTTTATTCCCGACCCCCGGTTCTCGGTTTCTGAGCTCGGTCCCTGGTTCTGGTCCCGGTTCCCGATCCCCGACCCCAATCCCCCACCCCGGTCCCGGTCCCTGCTCCGGTCCCCGACCCTGGTTCCCCGTTCTCAGTCCCCAGGCCCAGTTTCCAGGCCCAGTCCCCGGCCCCCAGCCCCGGCCCCGGTTCCCGTTCCCGGCCCTGCCCCCGCTCCCGGTTCCGGGCCCGGTTCCCGGTACCGACTCCGCTTCTCGGTCCCCGACTCCGGTTCCCGGCCCGTACTCACCCCCTGGCCCCGGCCCCGGCCTCGGTTCTCGGCCCCGCTCCCCGCTGGGCCCCGGCCCCGGTCCCGGTCCCGGTCCCCGAGCACCTGACGGGGCTGGGAGGGGGGGGGGGGAGGGGGGGGCGGAGCGGGCCAGCCCATCCGCTTTTAGGGGAGCCCCAGGACGTCACCTCGCGCTGCTCGGCTCTTTTCTCACCCAAACCGCCTTGACCGACCCCGAGGCTTTATTTTGGGTATTTCTGCCTCTTCCTCAGCCGTTCCCGGCCGCGGGGCACAGCACGAGCACAGCCTCCGGGTGGGGATCGCCGCCGCCCCCCCCCCCGCCAGGTCCATTTGGTTCGTTCCGAGGCACGGGTACCATAGAGTTGGCCTCCCGCGGCGCAGAGCGGCTCGCTACTTCCTAGGGGCGCTGCGCAGCCCACAGCGCCCCCTGGTGGGGAGGCCCCGCGGGAGGACCGCACCGCGCCGGTGACCCCCAGTGACCCCCAGTGACCTGAGGTGACCCCGAGGTGACCCCGAGGTGACCCCGAGGTGTCGCACCCCTGGGTGCAGGGACACGAGAATGGGGTGCGAGGAGACAAAGGGGGTGGGGTGTGGAGGGGGACACTGGGCATGTGAATGGGGATGGGATGGGGATATGGGGACATGGGGACACGGGGATATGGGGACAGCTGGACACAGGTGATGGGGACAGGGGGACAGTGGAGACGTGGGGACAGATGGATAGGAAGGACAGGGGGACACGGGGACAAGGGACAGATGGATCCAAAGGACAGGGGGACACGGGGATGGATGGGTGTGAAGGACAGGAGGACATGGGGACAAATGGACCTGAAGGACAGGGGACACGGGGACAGAAGGACCCGAAGGACAGGGGGACATGGGGACAGAAGGACCTGAAGGACAGGGGGACACGGGGTACAGGGACACGGCAGACAGGTGGGTGGGGACGCGGGGTGCTGGCCTGGCACCGCACTGTGCCCCCTGCCCCGTGCCACCAGCAGGACACCCACACCCCCGGGGGACACAGCAGGGATCAACGTGACCATGGCCCCCTGGGCGCACGTCCCCACATGCGTGTCTTTGCCACGTGGGGCTGGGCACACGCCAGGACACGCGTGTTCTGCCTGGCAGCCGGGGGGAGCCGTGCAGCCCGAGCCAGCCCCCGGGGTTATTTTTACCCAGCCCCGTTGGCACCGGTGGCCCCAACCCTCCCGCAGCACCCCCTACGAGGGAGATGGGGAACGCAACGAGGTGGGCAACGGCCTCGCTGCCAGCTCCATGGCATGGCACGGCCATCCCTGCCCCATAACATGGTCATCCCAGCCCCACAGCGTGGTCATCCCAGCCCCACAACGCGGTCATCCCAGCCCCATGGCACCGTCATCCCTGCCCTACAACACGGCAATTCTGTCCCAAGGAAAAGCTCGAGCCCCAGAGCCGTGCCGTGCCATACGGTGCCGGCAGCCCTTGCCGTGCCCACCCTGTCCCCCCCCCGTTCCCGTTGCCTGCAGCTTTCCCGTCTCCCCCCAGCCACCCCCCCACCCCGCCCGCGGCCCCACCGCTGGGCTCAGCGCTGCCCATTGTGTGCGGGGTGGGTGCTGTGGGCGTGGGGGGACAGAGGGCGCCTTGTTGTGCACCGCCGCGGCCCCCCCGGCCCCGCTGCCTCAATGCGCCCCTTGTTCTGCGCTGGCCCTTGGTGGCCCCAGGAACACTGCTGCGGGGGCGGGCTGTCCCCGGCAGGAGGAAGGGGACAGTGCCAACCTGGTGTGTGTCCCCCCCCCGCTGTCCCCATGCACCAGGACTCCCACCCCATCCCTGTCCCCATGTACAGGACACCCCCCTATCCTGTCCCCACTGTCCCCATACACCCCTGTCCCCATGCACTGGGACACCCACCCCATCCCTGTCCCTACTGTCCCCATGCACCAGGACTCCCCCCATATTCCTGTCCCCATGCATGGGACATCCCCCCCATCCTGTCCCCACACACCCCTGTCCCCATGCACTGGGACACCCACCCCATCCCTGACCCCATTGTCCCCATGCACCAGGACTTCCCCCCCCCCATCCCTGGCCCCCTGCATTGGGACACCCCCCTTTCCCTGTCCCCACAAACCAGGACACCCCCATCCCTAACCCCAAACACCCTCCTCCCTCCCTAACCCCCCCCCCGTGCATGGCTGCAAGACCCAGGCTGCGAGCAAGCCCCCCCCCCCCCCCCTTGGTGCCCTGCCCCTTGAACGTCCCCTCCTGGCACCGTCCCCGGAGCCTCGTCCCTGCACCCCAGCGGGCTGGGGGGTGGCGGTCACGCTTCCCGGGTTATTTTGGGGAGGATAAATCAGGCGGGCGACAGGTGCGGGGCCGCTGCAGCCGCCGCCACGGGGGTGAGCGAGGGTTCAAGGGCAGCGGGGCTGCGGCGTGGGCAACGTGTGGCCGCGGCCCCCCCGGCTGTCCCCGTCACCGACACCGGAGCCACCGCTGCCCGCACCCCGTCCCGGCTCAGAGAGGGGCAGCGGGCAGCACTCGTCCAAATTTCAATATATTAAATATAGAATATATTACTTGGGGGGGGTGGGGAGAGAGGGTGAAAGAGCCCTGGGGGGGGGGTGCACAAATATAAATGTGGGGTGGTGCTGAGATTGTACGTACAAGTTTATATACAGAAAAAGGCCAAAAGAAACGAGAAAAAAAAAAAAAAAAGGGGGAGCAGGCGGAGGCTGGGGGGGTCCGGTGCAAGCCCCCCCTCCCTGCACCCCCTGCTCTGTACAGGATCCGGCCTCTCGGTATTTACAACGCGGGCGTTTGTACAGGGAGGAGGGGGCACCGCGCCGGCTGGCCTCACGCTGCCGGCGCCGTGAAGGCACAAGGGGGGGACCCGGGCGTCCCCAAGGGGGGACCTGGACATCCCCAGGGGGGGACCCTGGACACCCTCGGTAGGCGGGGGAGAACCCGGGCAATCCCCGGGGTGAGGGGTGGACGGGGTGGGGGGTGTGTGAGCCCCTGGGGGCGCTCAGAAGGGCAGCGTGTCCATGAAGATCTTGTCGACGATGGGCGGCGGCGGCACCAGGTCCTCCAGCTTCAGGTAGAAGATGCGCTGCAGCCCCTGGGTGCAGAGGGTGCGCAGCTCGGGCAGTTTGCCCAGCAGCTTGGAGAGGCAGCCGGGCCGACCCGGCTCGCCCGCCGCCACGTGGTCCTTGAGGCAGCCCACGATGCGGTTCTGCAGCTCCTCCACCCGTTTCGGCTCCTTCAGCCCGTGGCGATCTGCGCAGGGACGAGGTGTGAGGAACGGCGGGGCCGGGGAGGGGACACCTGCGTGGCTGGGGGGTTTGGGGAGGAAAATCCCAGCCCCGCCTCACCTGTGATGATGACGAGGGCGGCGAGGCAGGAGAAGGAGGGCACGTCCACGCTCATGCGGTGCAGGCTCTGGGAAAACTCGAGGATGGCGTCGATCCACTCGCCGAAGCCCCGCACGCACTGCAGCCGGTGCAGCACCACGCCGTTGCAGAAGATGAGTTTGCCTTCCTCCGGCCTGGAGCTGCGGGCACAACCTGATTGTCAACCCCCCCTGGCACAGCCCCAAACGTCCCCGCCACCCCGCACCGTGCCGCGGCTCACCGGTACGCCAGGCGCAGGATGAAGAGCTCCAGGAAAGCCGACTCCAGCAGCAGGTCCTGGTCCTCCTTGGGCAGCTCGGCGAAGCCCTGGATCTTCTCAGCCCACTTGCGGATGACGTCCATGGAGCCGGTGAGGAGGTCGTAGAATTGCTGCACGTCCACCGAGTCCTCCTTCTCGAACTGGCACGGCGCCGCCTCCTGGAACTGCCAGGACGGGATGGGGACGGGGTGGTGAGGATCAGACCCCCCCAGGAGAGCTCAAGGTGGCACGGGGGTGGCACCGGGTGGCACCGGCCCTACCTTGGAGTAGTCGAGCTTGGTGGCGCTGGGGACGGAGTCGATGTGTGCCCGCACCAGGGAGGTGATGAGGCTGACGGGGGACGCGTCCGGAGGCTGCTTGGGCTTGGAGGGCAGGCGGCCACGGCGACCCTTCAGGCTGTCGGTCCGGACCACTGCGGGCAGCAGGACGTGCAATGAGCGCGGGTGTCCTCAGCCGGGCACCGGGGGGTGCCCCCAAGCTGTGCCCAACCCCCCCATCAACCCTGGTACCTTCTTTGACCATGCCCACGGCCAGGCACTTCTGGAAGCGGCAGAACTGGCAGCGGTTCCTCCGCCTCTTGTCCACGGGGCAGTCCTTGTTGGCCAGGCAGATGTACTTGGCGTTCTTCTGCACCGTGCGCTGCGGGCGGGGAAGGAGCGAGCGAGCTCAGCCCGGGGCGCGGAGCCACCGAACAAAAGCCCTTCTGTCCTCTGCCGCCCGCTCCGGCCCCGCATCCGGCTCCAAAGCTGCTTAGGGGGGGCCCCGCTGTGCCACCGGGACATTGGGGCTGGGGACATCAGGGCTTGGGCCACTCTCCCTGCCCCATCCCTCTCGGGGTGACCCGTGGCTGGGGAGGCGACGCAGCGTTGTCCCGCTGCTGCGGGGTGCGGTAGGAATTATCCCTCGTGGTGGTTCTTACCTTGAAGAAACCCTTGCAGCCCTCGCAGGTGCGCACGCCGTAGTGCTGGCAGGAGGCGTTGTCCCCGCAGACAGCGCAGCGTCCCTCGCCCGCCCCGGGGCTGCGCGTCTTGGCGGGGGCCAGCGTGGGCCCCTCCAGCAGCGGCGAGGCGGGGGCCAGAGGCAACCCGGAGAAAGCCCCCGGGGAGCCCTGGGGCAGCGCGAAGGCGTCCGTGTCCAGCAGGCGCGGGTCCTTCAGGGGCCCGGGGGAGCCACCGGGGCTGGGGGCCGGGGGCCCGAAGGCGAAGAAGGGGGGCTGCGCCGCGCCCCCCTTTGCTGGCTCAGCCCAGGGCCGCCCGCCCTCGTAGCTCGGCGGCGGCGAGTACGCCCCGAAGGAGCCCTCCCAGCCTGGCATTTGGGGCGCCTGGAAGCCCGGAGTGGCCGGCGAGGGGACGGAACAGGGGCTGCCGTAACAGTCCGACCCGCTGGAGGAGAGGGTCTCCTCGGGCTGCCCGAAGGCGCCGGGGTAGCAGCCGTACACCTGGAAGTCCTCCAGCTTGAAGGCGGCGGGCTGGCTGCTGGCCGGCAGCTGGTAGAGGAAGGCGTCGAACTCCCCGGCGTAGCTCTCCATGAAGGTGCTGAAGCTGGGCAGGGCTGGAGCAGCCGCCAGGTCGGCACCGGCCACCTCCATGGGGAAGCGGCCACCGTCGGGGCTCAGCAGCTCGCTGGGGCAGCGCTCGCAGGGGCCAGAGCCGGCCGTGCCATACTGCGCCTGGATGCAGGGCATCTCTGTGGGGAGAGCGGGGTGTCAGCGGGGACCCTGCTGCTCCTGCGCCCACCCTGCTGCCCGCACCCACCCCGCCTGCCCCACGGAGCCTGCGCCGAGGGATGGAGAGGGGTGAGAGCCACGGCGCGGGGCTCGGCGCGTGCCAAGGCATCCCCCTCGCAAGCCCAGGGCCCTGTGGCAGCCGCTGTTGTCCCCAAGAAAGGTCACGGCGCAGCCAATGGGAGCAAAGGACATTCCCCAAAACGCTGGGTTAGCAAAGCCGACGAAAGGGAAGGAGGGAGGAATGCGGCCGGCAGATTCCCGAGCTCCTGGTCTGGCTGAGGGAAGCCGGTCCTTGGGCCGGGGGGGGGGCGGGGGGCTGAAGCTGGCCCCGAGACGAGGCTAAACCAGGGCGCTCGGCTCCCCCGGGAGCCTTTTTGGAGCTCGGTGGAACAGCAAAAGCAGCCCAGGGCAGGCTGCAGCCGGAGCCGCTGCATGGGGGCAAGGAGCCCCCAGCACGGGAGGCACAGGTGGCCGGATCCAGCCCCGCGGCCGCGGAGACGCGTAACAGGAGTCTCAGGGTCCAGCTGAAAGCCAAGACAGTGGTGACCCTCATGGCAAGACGATAATGTAATTCATCTCGCAGACCTTTAAAGGTCACACCGCGCCTGGCACCGAGGCCGCGGGCCGGAGCCCCCGGCACAGCGCGGTGCCAGTTTGCCCCCATGGCCACCCCTCAGCCAAGTTCCTGCAGCTCTCGCCCTGCGCCGTCCAGAAAGCTGACACCCACCCGGGGAGCCGGGTAAAAATACCCCGCGTGGGCCCAGCCCCGCTACCCCCTCGGTGCCACCAACCCCAGCCTGCTCCCGGTGTCCCTGTGCCGCCGTGGGGTTTGTCCCCATCTGTCGGGGCTGAGGGGGATCGTGGCTGGCGTGCCGCACAGACACAAAGTGTCCCCCGCCGAGTGCCACCTCCCCCTGTGGGCTGGCTGTCCCGTGCTCCCAAAATAGAGCCTTCGGCCTCCTGGGACCGAGCCACACTGGGATTTACCGGGCAGACATGCGCGCCCCCCCTCCCTTTTCCCCCCCCCTCGTGGCACCTTTCCACCAGCGGGACCAGGCCAGCACAGGGAAGCGCAAAGAGCTCCCACGGTGCAGATTTTTCCGAGGGGCTGGGGAACGCCGGCTGCCTCCTGCCACGCAGCAGCGGGGCACGATGCCGGGGACACGGCGGGGGCCGCAGCGGCTCTGCCGGCAGCTCGGTGCCATGCAAATCCCGGCTGCAAATTGCTGCCCGGCCGCTGCTCCATGCAAACCTGCAGCCCGTTCCTCCAAACCCCGCGGGGGCTTTGTCCAGCGGCAGCAGGCAGCGCTTGGCTCAGTTGCTGCTTCCTCTCCTTTTGCCTATTCAAATGCCGGTGGCTTTTGGGGTCCCCAGCACGAAATCCCCCAGGGACAAGGCGCAGCGGGCGCCCAAATTTCTGCCAGCAGCCCCCCGCAGCTCGAGGCGTGCATTAATTGCAGGATCCTCGTCGGGGAGTGCGGGAAGCTGCCCAGAGCCCTGCCCGGAGCCCGCTGCCAACGCAGGCTGGTGGCAGCCCCTGGCACCGAGCCCTGGGCTGCGGGCGGGCGAGAGCAGCTGGCGGCGCAGGGGGGAGCGCTGCCCACCTCCCCCCGGCACCTGCTGCCTTCTGCCACGGTGCAGCCGCTGCCAGGCCCCTCACGGTGCTGCCTTCCCGGTGGCACGGTGCAGGCAGCACCGGGGATGGGGCTTTGCCACCCCCCCCCCCCCGGCTGCAGGCGGAGGTTTTGGGCGCAGGGAGCAGCCGTGCCCTGGCCCGGTGCGGTTGGGGGCAGCCCCAAAAAACGCGGTCCCGCCGCTGCCCGGCTCCCCCCGCGGAGCCGCACGGGGCACCCCGGGACCGCTCAGCCCCGGCTCTCCCCGGTGCCACCGGAGCTCTCCAACCCCGCACACCGTGCACGGAGCCCGGCTGTCCCGGTGCCGGCGGGACCCCTCGCTCCGTCTGCCCGCGCCACCGCTGGCTCCCGGCGCTCCCCGGTGCTGCCGGGGCAGCCTCCGTCGCGGCTCTCCCCGGTGCCACCGGGACTGCCCGTGCCGGGGATCCCGCACACCTCCCGGTCCCTTTCCCGGACTCCCCCCGGTGTCACCACCGGGCCGCCCGCTCTCCACGCTCCTTGCTCGGCGCTGCCCTGACCCCGTTACCGGCGGTGCTATCGGGGCGCTCCATCCTCCGGTTCCCCCGGTACCCCCGGCAACCCCGGCACCCCACTCCCCGCGCACCTTACCGGGCGCGCACCGCCCGACCCCGCGCCCCCCTCGCCCCCCGCCCCACTGGGACGCCTCATCCCGACCCCCCCGGTGCTCCCGGACCACCCCAAACCCACGCACCTTGCAGAGCGCGCACCGCCCCCTCCCTCTCCCCCGTTTCCACCGGGGACTCTCCATCCCGGTCCCTCCACCCCCACCTCGGGGCACCCTCCCGGTGCCTCCCCAAGCCGTACCCGGGGTGCCGGGGCGCGGCGCTCCGGTCCCGTTCTGCTGCCGCTGCCGGTTGCTCCGCCGGGCTCGGGCCCCGCCACTACTTTCTCTTAAGCGCTCGGTGACGCGCGGGGCGGTGCGCGGGCCCGTGACGCACGGCGGCACCGTAGAAGGAGCGGGGGGGCGGTTCCGGCGGGGGCGCGGCCGTGACGCACGCGGGGTTCCATTGACGCAACCTCGGCGCCCGCGCTAAAAATACCCCTGCGCGGCCCCGGCTAAAAATAGCGCGGGCGCCCCCCGCTTCCCTCCCCTCCTCCTCCCCCCCCTCTTCCCTCTCCGGGGCTCCCGGGACCGCCGCCCGGGTGCCCGGTGCCGGTATTCCCCGTGCCGTCCCGGTGTTGTAACCCCGGTGCCGGTGCGCCCCGTGCCCTCCCGGTGGCAGCGTCCCCGGTGCCTCCCGCTGTCGGTAGCTCCGGTGCCGGTGTCCCCAGTGCCCTCCTGGTGTCGGTATCCGCGGTGCCGGTGGGAACCGGAGCCGGTGTTTTCGGTGCCATCCCGGTGCCAACTTTCCCCTGCCCTCCCGGTGCCAGCGCCCCTGGTTCCCTCCCGGTGCCGGTACCCCCGGTGTCCTCCCCATAGCCCCGGCACCCAGAGAAGCTCCCGGGACCGCGGGCACCGGGAGGACCCCGGGGCAGCTCCGGCCGTGCGGGACCCGGTTACCGGCCGGGACACCGGGGCAACAGCGAGCTCTCTCCCGGTGCCACCGGAGCATCCCCGGTCCGGTCACCTCCCTCCGCCCGTCCCTGGAAGCCAGAAGCGGGGCTTTCAGCGCCTCCGATCCCCGTTCCTGGACGCACCGGTGCCGGTTCCGACGGTTCCCGTATTTTTAGCGCGGGTCCCGGTGCTCGCAGGTGGCCGAGAGCCGCGCAGCCGGGACGGGCTCGGAGGCGCCTTGGTGCCGAGCTGCTGGCGGCCGGCCCGGGCCGAGCGGGACCGCGGGGGGCCCGGGACAACCGGGGCGGAACAAACCGGAGTGTGGAGGAAGGGGGGGCACCCTCCAACCGGGGGGGCTGCGGGTCCCACTCCCACCGGGGCTGGGTTTAGGGTTAGGATTAGGGTTAGGATTAGGGTTAGGGTTAGCGGCTGCCCCCGTGCCCCGAACCACTGGGAGGTGCCACCCTGAGGGCTCTGCGGGAGCCCCCCCTGGGGCCCCCCCTTCCCGGCTGTGCCCCCCCCCCCGGGGCCGCCCTGCCCGCGGGGAGACCCTGGCCGGGCCGATGGAAACAGCGGCGGCTGCTGGCGGCCGCCCAGCACCGCCCGGCCGGGGGAACCGCTTCGGGCCGGGGAGATGAGCTCAGCCCCCGCGGGACCGGGGAGGGGGGGTGGGGGGGGGCCCGGGGCTGGGCGGGGCGGGGCGAGACCCCCGGTGCCCCCCGGCTGCAGCCCCCCACCAGCCCTGGTAATGCGCCCCCCCGGCAGCGCCCTCGGCAATGCCGCCTGCTGCCGTGCCGCCCGGTAGTGCCCCCCCCGCCCCGAGTCCGAGCCCCCCCGGTAGTGCTCCTCCCCCCCCCCACGCCCAGTCCGAGCCCCCCCCGTTAGTGCGCACCCCCCCCAGTTCAATACCCCCTCCACTCAACGCCAGCCTTCTGTCCGGTGGCACTACCGGTGCCCCCCGGTAGTGCCCCCCCCCCAGCACAAAGGGACCCCCTTGGGGGGTCGCCATCGGGACCCCACCGCCGGCTCTGGGTGCCCCCCCCGGACCTCTCAAGGAACGGCGAGGGGCGAAACCCAGGACCGGAGGGGCCCGGGGACACCGGCAGGGGGGTGTTGGGGGGGGCGCAGAGCTACCGGGGGGCTCGGGGGGAACGGGGCCGGGGGCCGGGCGCTGCCGCCGCCGCCCCCTCCGCGCCTCCCGTTACCTCGCCCCGTCCCGGTGCCGGTCCCGGCTCCCGGCGCCGCCGCCGCCGCTCGCCACCCGCCCGCCCGAGCTGGGGCCCCGTGACGTCATGCCCGCCGCTGACGTCACGGAATCCCGGCGGCAGCCCCGGGGCCGCCCCCGCGGGGATTCCCTCGGGCAGGGTCGGCCCCGGAGCTCGGCGGAACCCACCGGGGCCCCGCACCCCGAGGCTGGAGCCGGGGCAAAAACCGGTGCCGGGCCGGGGATTGTGGCCAGGCATCGGGAAACCGGAGCCGTCGGGGGGGGGCCGGGGCAGCCCCTCGGTGCCCACGGAGCCGGCCCGGGAGGCTCGGCCGGCGGCCCCCGCACCGGGATTAGCTGTACCTGCAGCACCCGCCGCCCTACGCCGGGGGAGGACACGCTCACCCCGTAATCCCGTAATCCCGTAATCCCGGCGAGGCACGGCTGAGGGGCCCTAGGGGACAATAGGGCAGCCATAGGGATGTGGTGGCCACCCCGTGTCATCGGGCACCCTGTGCCATCAGCCACCATGTGCCACCAGCCACGCCGTGCCACCAGCCACGCCGTGCCATCAGCCACCCCATGCCATCGGGCACCCCATGCAATCCATTTCCCTGTGCCATCACCCTGTGCTGTCACCCCAATGCCATCTGTCACCCCATGCCATCTGTCACCCCATGCCATCGGGCACCCCGTGCCATCAGGCACCCTATGCAATCTGTCTCCCTGTGCCACCACCCCGTGCCATCACCCTGTGCCATCTGTCACCCCGTGCCATCGGGCACCCTATACAATCCATCTCCCTGTGCCATCGGTCACCCTGTGCCATCCAACACCCCGGTGCCATCAGTCACCCCGTGCCATCCATCACCCGAGCCATCCATCACCCGGTGCCATCCGTCACCCCGCACTGCTGCACCCACAGCCCGGCTGCCACGCTTGGGGCAGGAGCAGGGGGTGGGGGATTTTTAGGCTGCCCACGGGCCCCCTGCCACCGGCCTCGATTTACCCGTAACGAGAGGCTGCAGCGGGGCGTTCCCCACCCTGCACCCCATCACGTCTGGGTGCCACGCGTGACCCTGCAGCCCACGGGGCCGGTGCCCAGCCCGTGCCCACCAGCTCGTGCCCAACCCGGGCACGTGGAGCTCCAGGTTGGGGCTAAAAAAAGCCCCCGCGTGGCGCGGCAGCTGCTGGGGGAGGTCCCGTGACGGGGACGGGGTGCCCTGACCCTGGCAGCGCGCGCGCGGGCGGCCCCGGGAGCAGCACCATAAATGTCCACGCACGGAGTCCTCCTGGAACTGGGACAAGGCAGGAGAGCAGTGGGGAGCTGGGGGGGGCCCAGGCACAACAACCCCCCCCCCGGGCACGTGGTGTGCAGCACACACACACACACACGCGTGTGCACGGGCATCAGGCTGTGCGCACACGCACACACTGCACCAGGCATGCACATGCAGCCCCCCCCCCCAAAACCCTTTCATCCCCCAAATCCCCCAGGCAGCGAGGCTGTGTCCAGGGTGCTGAGCCCCCGCTGGACCCCCTCGTGCTCCCCCCCCCAGCTGGGGGTGCAATGGGGACACGGTGTGGGGCCACCCTCAGGACCCCCAAGACCTAATTTTAAGGGGTACAAGGCAATGGGGAAACTGAGGCACGGAGTGGGACCTCCCCCCATTCAGCCTGTACCACGCTGGGGGGTTCTCGGTGCACATGGGGCAGGCAAAGCCCCCCCCATGCAAAGAATCCCACGGTTGCACCCCAAAAAAACACCCCATTTTTTTGATGCCCTTTGTGGGCTGGTGCTGGGCACCCAGGGCACACCGGCAGCAGGTCCCAGGGCACCCATGGGTGCTGCTGGAACAGCCCAAGGGGGCTCAGGGCACAGCACCTGGGAGCTTGGGGTGCAACAGGGCAGGGATATGATGTGGGGGACCCCGGTGCCCGTCCCGTTCCCCCCCCCGGGCACCCCAGGAACGGAAGGCCAGGGGTGGGAGCCGCTTCCCGTGGCTGCCGGAGGAAGCGGAGCAGGAAGGGGCCTGGCAGGGACCCAGCGGGGCCATGGGACCGAGGCCACGGGCAGGCAGGGGGAGGTGGGACTGGGGTGTCCCCACGCAGGCCAGAGGGTGACAGCAGTCACCGTGATGGCCAAAACTTTTTTTTTATGCTGGGGGGGCGCAGCCATGGGGGGCTCCTCGTGGGACACTGTCCCCAAAGGCCACCTCTGCCGGAGTCACAGCCACACACGGGTGCAAAAAAAGTCTCTGTATTGGCGAGCAACGAGTGCGCCACGCGGTACAAAACCCATTTTTTTTTTTTTTGGGGGGGGGGAGGGGTAGGAGGCACAGTGCCCCCCCCCCCCCAGCACGGAGGCCACCAGTTCCTGAGATGAGCGGTGGCTTCAGAAGCCACCTCGGGACCTTGGGAACAGCCCCCGCTTGCGTCCCTCGGTGCCGTGACCCCCACGCCTTGGGGTGGGGGGGGTGGGGGGGGCTTCTCGCAATAAATAAATAAATTAGGCTCGGGGGGGGGGAGGGATATGGGAGGGAACAGCACCCCCAGCTAGAGGTGGCTCTCCTCCTCCTCCAGCGCACGGTTCAGTCCCGGGATGAATTTGAGCAACCGCTGGCGGAAGCTGCTGTGCCGAGCCTTGTGGGGGGGTCCCACGCCCCCCCCGGGCCGGGGGTCTCCAGCTCGTGCCCACAGCAGCCCCGCGGCCCCCGCGCCCCCACTGCATTTCAGGCTGGAGCTGCGGCTCAGGGCTGGCCGGGAACGGGGCGGAGGGGGCGCGGGGCTCGAGGTGCCCCCCTCGTCCCCGTCCTTGTCGAGGGAGTCGGCGAAGACGCAGGTTTGGTACAAGGAATCGTCGCTGCCGGCGGCGCTGGCGCGGGGGGAGCCCGGGGGGGCCCCCCCACCCTGCAGGCACCAGCGCAGGGACTCGAGCGTGTCGTAGATGCTGGGGTCCTTGGCCACCACTCCTGCTGGGGGGGGGGGTGGGAGGGAGGTCAGAAGGGTTTTTTGGGGGGGATTTGGGGCACCCCGAGGAGCTGCCCCACTGCTTGCGCCCCCCCCTTCTCTCCTGGGACCCCCCCCCCTTTATTGGGACCCCCCCTTTATTGGGACCCCCCCACTCACCCCGCACCAAGCGCTGCTCCTGCACCATCAGTGAGCGGTACTCCCCCCACTTCTCGTAGAGTGTTTGCTGTGGGGTAAAAAGAAAGGGGGGTGGGGGGGTTAAGGGTTGC